TACACCTTGTACGCCAAATTAAGATTTTATTTCATTCAATATGACTTGGCTGATCAAAAAACCGAAATTCACCGTCTCTTTACATCTCCCGGTAATGTTTCAGAAAGCATATTTAACCACTTATCTTTCTGTCAATCTCTGTTTTAGTACATGAGCATGAACGACGAGGCCGTAATCTTAAGTAACTCTACCATTGGTATGATTCGCCTGCTTATCATCGGCGACATGCCCGGTGCTCGCGACATCATTGAATCAACTGGAGAAATTCTTTCAAAAATCGATGGCGTGACGTCCGTTCATTCTCGCTTTTATCGAATGAGTTCAAACTACTATAAGGTAAGTGAACGAGACCCCAAATGTCTGAATTCTTCTAAAAATAGTTTAAAAAAACTTGTTTTTTTTTAAAGCGTAATACGAGCGGCCGTACAGTATATTGAGTAATCTTAACTCTCAAATCTCTTTGGTTGCCAAAAAGGTCATCGCTATTCTTCTATTCAAGGACGCCACAAAATGTATTCCGCCGTAACGTCGATTTATCGGACGTAGTCTGCTTTTTTGGCCGTCGTTCTTCCGTTTGACCTAACCAAGTTCCCCTGAACTTTATTTACAAAATTTTATCTTCTCCCAATGGATGCCCTCGGTCAAATTATATAGGTCTTTTCACTTGTGGTATTTCACTCTATGCCTTTGCCGATGTTCTTTTGCCCATACCTTAGTTAATGCTTTTTATAGTAAAGCTATAACACTAGTTTTATCTAGGCCATATATCCCTCCCGGTTTAATGACTGTAATTCTGCAAAGAACACCTTTATTATACTCTCACTAGTGGAATTATAAGTGTAGGGAGTCTGACTAAAATATCGCTTCTCTTGGTGTATTCAGACAATCCTGTAGTCGTCACGCTTTTCAGCGCATCGTTGGTTTAGAATGTCACTGAATTCAGAGTGATTTCCTCCCACTGCCGTTTATTTTTTTAGTTAATGGGACAACACGCAGAGTACTACAGGGAAGCCCTGCGTTTTCTGGGCTGCACAGACATGGCTGAGCTGCCTGTCGAAGAGAAACAAGATTGGGCCTTCTCTGTCGGGCTTGCCGCACTACTCGGCAATGGTGTGTACAACTTCGGGGAATTGGTGAGTTCTTATCCTCTTTCCAGGACGTTATGAAGCCTTCATTATATGCTATCGATCATTCTGTCAGAGTAATTTTCTTTGTGAATCAATTTGCGGCTGCTTTTAAAATATGTTTGTCTAATATTGGTATACTAAAGAAGTCATGTAAAAGCTGGATTCGGTTATGGTCAATCAGGATAGCTTCGATACGAGTGCATGACTCCTTTTTGACTGAAAATGTGCAGTTTTCGTTGCAAGTGTGCTAACTTAAGCTTAAAGCGATACGCGCTAAGCAGGGGCAGTTCATTGAGTCGCACGACCGCATAGCAAAAAGATTTACCCATATGTTTACTTGCAGCACTCTTCATAAGGACAAACTCGAACGGCTACATACTAAAATGTGACTGTGTCACAAGGGCTTGCTTTCTCTTGTCGGTTCACCCACGCAATTATCTGGTTGTCCAAGCACCCATAATATTTATTCGCCTCCAGTTGACTACCATGGCATTTAAAACGTAAGCGCGATAATCGATACAAAAACTTAATTCTTCTGACGCTTCGGATTCATAATCGGACGCATCATCAAAGATTTTGAGGGACTGGGGGGGGGGCGGACTGATTACTTCGATGCTATACTTCCCTTTATTTAAACTTTTCTATATATATATATATATATATTAACATAGGTGAAGATACGAGGTCCAGATAA